ATTTTTGCCTCAAACTAGTTATCTGAAGCCGCGTCTACAAGTTTGTATATGGAAAAAATAAAAGGGGAACTTTGGACTCAGAATTTCACTCTCTTTCACGTCCTCAGAATGTCGTACATTCTGGAACACCCTGTACATGGTCTAAACTTATGACTGGTATGAGCCATGAGCAGGTATGAGTAATGCACGCGTCACTAGTAGTAAAAATGGCGTCGGTGGATGTAGAGCGTATCAAGGTAGGTGTCATTTTTTAAATTTTACACCCGTATCGCGTTACATTTAATGATTTTGCTTGTTCCATATAGTCATTCATACACTCTTCTGTATTTGTAAATATAAATTTATCGTTACGATAGTATATGCGTAATGTTTATAGCTTGAAGGGCGTGGAATCTATTCTGTCATAACAACAATACTCCTGATGTTGCGTTGAATTTATCGTACCATACACGGATAGTACTGTTAATTTCCGGCCGACTTATTATCACTGATGCATTATATGTATTTTCAGTTGGAATCTACCCTGCGTAACTTAAAATTGTCGGGTCACGTTGGATTCGATAGCCTCCCCGATCAATTAGTAAATAAATCCGTTCAGAATGGATTTATATTTAACATTCTTTGCATTGGTAAGAAAACATTTTTATTACGTGTTGATATGTAGGCATACTGAAGATTTCTTTCTATAATTAATTACTCGCATTTGTAATAGGTGAAACTGGGCTTGGGAAATCGACCCTCATGGATTCTCTTTTTAATACCAGCTTCGAATCTACTCCAAGTCCCCATAATCTTCCCTCTGTGAAACTCAAAGCCCATACTTATGAACTACAAGAGAGCAATGTTAGATTGAAGCTTACTATTGTTGACACAGTTGGCTATGGGGATCAAATTAACAAAGAAGATAGCTTTAAGGCTGTTGTCGATTATATAGATGCTCAATTTGAAGCTTATTTGCAAGAGGAGTTAAAGATCAAGAGATCTTTAGCTACATATCATGATACTCGCACTCACGTTTGCCTATATTTTATTTGCCCAACAGGACATGGGTAAATATTATAACAAGATATATTTGTTTGTGTAATATTTATCTGATCTTATTAACATTTAAATACTATCCTAGGTTAAAATCGATTGATCTAGTCTGTATGAAGAAGCTCGACACAAAAGTTAATATCATTCCTATTATTGCCAAAGCTGATACAATATCAAAAACAGAACTACAAAAATTCAAGGTATGTTATAAAAATTATTAAGAAACAATATATAGGTCTTCGTATATACTAGAAGTTTTATATTTATTGTTTGTTTTAGACTAAAATTATATCTGAATTACAAAATAATGGGGTACATATTTATCAATTTCCCACCGACGATGAGAGTGTATCTGAAGTAAATACGACTATGAATGCCCATGTACCTTTTGCAGTAGTTGGTAGTACAGACTTTGTTCGAGTTGGAAATAAAATGATGCGCTCTCGCCAGTATCCATGGGGCACAGTACAAGGTAAATTGGAATACTGTCAACTAACATTTTTCATCGTAATCTTCATTGAATTCTTCTCTTTTAGTTGAGAATGAAGCCCATTGTGATTTCGTTAAATTGCGTGAAATGTTAATAAGAACAAACATGGAAGACATGAGAGAGAAAACCCACTGCCGTCACTACGAGTTGTATCGTAAAAAACGATTAGAACAGGTAATTGTTGGAGCAACAGATTCTCGTGTTACATGATTTCAGCATAGTTACTTGCAATTGTAATTTTTAGATGGGATTTAGTGATGTTGATAGCGAGAATAAGCCAGTCAGTTTTCAACAAACCTGTGAAGCAAAGAGATCTCTTCATCTACAAGAGCTTCAACAAAAAGAGGATGAAATGCGACAGATGTTTGTCGTACGAGTGAAGGAAAAGGAAGCTGAGTTAAAGGAGGCAGAGAAAGAGGTAAAAATATTATGTTTATAATATGAAAAATCAATTACTCGTGAGTCAGTATCCTATTCATACAACTTTAACTACATATTTACATGTATATTTTTCAGCTTCACATAAAATTTGATAAACTGAAGAAAGACCATACGGAAGAAAAGAAGAAATTGGAAGAAAGCAGAAAGAAACTTGAGGACGATATATTAGAATTTAATAGACGAAAGGCACAGTTCGCTCAGCAACCTCAGCACCACACCTTAACATTAGGAAAAAACAAGAAGAAATAAACGACGCCAAAAAACGGTACAAGATGTAATACACTCCATTTCATACTGCTATGTATAACTATTATTTCATAATCACCTGACATAGCATCACTGAGATTATGATTAAATTATTAAATATCCTCGAAAGTAGTATTTTCTATTGTATTCTTAATGGCATTTTCTTTCATTTTAAATTTTACTTTGATTAGACTGATTATTGTGATGAGAATGACGTTTACTAAATTTAATTTACTTTTTGTATTAACATGTATACATTTAGAGAAATAAAGATATATTTGTTACTTACAAATTTAATAGTTTATATTTCTTTAATCACCGTACGCATCGTATTTGAGAGATTCGTAATTAAATATTTTATTGTTCAACAAAATGTAACAATTAACACAATAGCATGGTATTTACGTCAAATAAATTTAACGTTATTTGCGATATA